CATGTAGGAGAAAAACAAATGACTTCTCATTACTACCTGAGAGGACTTAACCAAAACTGTCTGACTGAACTACAGAAAATTTGACTTAGACTTATGTTTTCCCTCCTGGTTTGCAGAGAGTAGAGTTCTAAGACAACCAACCAGTCATTCAGATGAAGTCCTGTTATTAACAGAAGATAAGAAGAAAGGTTGCAGGTACATAAGCAACCGTATGATGTGCGATAAACATAAGCTAATACTGCTTGCTCTGAATGTGAAAGCTATGTCTCATCTGTTTGTGTCAAAGCCATTGCCATCAGTTGTCTGGAGGACAGGCTGTCTTGTAGTCATGACAATAAGAACATTGGCCAGTGAGAACTGGTCAAGTTCCTGTTCCAGTGAAATTTAATATAAGGTACGTCAGGGGACACACAGGGACAGCCTAACTTTTGGGTTTTCATATTTTAGAGAAACAGCAGAACTAAAAGTGTGAGAAACACTGACACAGATTTTACAATTTTCATCCAAGCTGTTTTCTTTCCCCAAGGTGAGGATGAGAATTAGGCACCTGTTGTTTTCAGTGATGTCCTACCAGCTTTTCTCCAAAGCTGGAAAGAGTGAGGATACAAGGTAGAAGCCGGCAAATTGGTGGAAACCAGTTATTCAACTCGTTTTGTGTCAGGTGGGAGGTGAGTGGGGCCATTTGTTCCTGGTTTCCTGCCCACCTTACCTCCTCAAGCTGCTTTAGTGGGCTGCAGCTCTTTGGGCTGGTTAATGGAGGGGTAAAGGAGTGCTCGGGGAGGACTCTGGTGAGTTCCACACCAGAAAGCAAGAGTGGGAGCGTTCAGTCTCCTTGCACCTGCACGACTGTTCTGCTCAGGTGCTTCTACAGAAAAGGCATCTTTCTGTCAAAGGTCATGATGCCATCATGATGGGGGTAGTAAGTCAGACCTGCGTTCAAACGCTGGCTCTACCATCCACTAGCTCTATGAACTCAGTTATTTAAACTCTTTGGCCTCAGTTTCAACTGTAAAATGTGGATGATAATATCTACTTCATGGGGAAGATGTTGGGATGATATGGTAAAAATTCTAATGCATAATAAGTATTCAAAAAATTTCCATCTTCTTTCTACTGTTATTCTGTTGATAAATAGATAAGTTCGTCAAAGATGTCATGATTTAAACAATTATCAAATGCCTTAATCCAAGTGATGAGTTTACAGCCAGCTGAGAGCCAGAACATAAACTAATAACTTGCCAGGCTAGCTTTTGTGAAATACTTAACATCACTTTGGGTGCCACCTTGGCCGAATACACACACGTATTCATTTGTTTAACAGATATGTATTGTCAGAAGAGCAACGGTGAGTCAGAGCACACAGGCAGGGATTATTCTCTCCTGAAAATCTACCTTCATTGCCCAGGAGAGAGCCCCAGGGTAGCTCCTAGCACTTTGGGAGGCCGAAGTGGGAGGATTGCTGGAGCTCAGGAATTTGAGACCTCATCTCTACTAAAAATAGAAAAATTAGCCGCTGTCGTGGTGCACGCCTGTAGTCCCAGCTCATTAATGTTAATTTATTGAGGACTGAAAATAGAAAAATTAGCTGGGCATGTGCCTGTAGTCCTGCTACTTGGGAGGCTGAGGCAAGAGGATCACTTGAGTCCAGGAGTTTGAGGTTGCAGTGAGCTATGATGATGTCACTCCATTCTAACCTGGGCAACAGAGTGAAACTCTGTCTCAAAACAAAATAAAACAGATATTTATTATGGCTTGATTCTGTGTCAGGCACTAGAGTACAAAGATGAGTGTCTCTGCCATCAAAGTCCTCACATTTCAGTAAAATACAAAGGTGCATATAAAATCAAACCCAGGACAGGACCAAGGCAGTGGGGGCGGGGGGGAGGGTGCCTTCCTGGCAGCCACGCTGGGGTGTGAAGCCTTTGGTGATGGGGGCACCACAGTCATCCCCAGAGGCCCAGCCCCTGGCCTGGCCTCCCAAGAATCTGTGGACTGACACTGGTTCTTTTGTAAAAATAAATAAATACAATGATTTTTTAAAAAAGGCAATGCAAACATTTCTAAATCAATAAAACCGAGGGAGCAAAAGGGAGTGAACTAGCTTTGCCTGGGAGATGCTATTCTGAGGCGAATGAATAATTCTCATTCATTCAAGACTTTATCTAGTTGTTACAGTACACCAGGCACTCAAGGTATAGCAGGATTTTATCTGCAATTTATAGATGAGGAAAATGAATCTCAGAGAGGCTATGATGATAATAAAAGTTGTTAGACACTAACACATTATTAAGGAGGGCTAAGGTAATTCTTGGAAGAGCTCTAAAAAGAGAACTGATGCTGTCAGCAGCTTGATGGAGTAGAGTTAAGGAGATGAGTTAGCGAGAGCCTAAAAACCACTCCAAGACTTAAATGAATACTTTACATATCATACAGACAAATGCTTAATGAACCTATTATGATGAATCTTAAGGTTCCCTACCATTCTGGAACATTAGGTTAAGTTCTAGGAGTTAAGTTAGACATATTGGACATCACTAACTACTTAAGACATAATGGG